ACTCGGGTATTTAATTCTTTTTTTTTTAAATAAAGTAATAAAATTTATGAAAACTTAGGTCCTAAATTGATAGTTTTCAATCATTCAACTCCTAGATTGATAGTTTTCCATCATTCAGATCATATACCGAGACATTTTGAGCCCGTTTGGTAGCACCAAAATCGGCTGTTTTGGCTGATTCTGCTAAAATTTATGAAGTTCTGGCTGAAGTGGCTGCATTGGCTGATTCTGCTTATTTAAGAAAAAATATTTTTAAAATATATATTATTAATAAAATAAAGAAAAAATTATATGTAAAAATAGCTAAAATAGTTATCTACAGTAACTTCAGCCAATATAGTCAGAAAAGTAACTTTGACCTTACTTTTTCTGCTTATTACACAATTCAGCGCGCACAAGAAAAAATTACGTGTTTGGTGAAAAAGTTGACTGATAAGTCTGATAAGCCGAAAAACAGTCTTGCCAAACGGCCTCTTTATCATTCAGATCCCGAATTGATAATTCATTTATCTTTCACATCCCGAATCGATAAAACTCTTATTTAAAAACTCTTATTTTAATTACCCTAGTTATGACTAAAACTCTCACACATTCTCAATCTATGACCTAACTAGTTTTTTTCCCAAAATAATATTTAAATTGGTAATATTCAATTAATTTCGTAATTAATTAATAAATAAATAATTTTAATGGACTAATATACCCTTTAGATTATGCTTATAAAACCTTAATCTCCTACTCCTTTTTCTCCAACCCTAGCCTCTAGTATCTCGCCACCCAAGATGCACCTTCTTCCGACGACTGCCGCACGACCATCTGACATCGCCGTCCCTCTGTGCAGCCGCCTAACACCGCCACAGGTCATTCCCTGTGACCTTTGTCTCCTTCTCACCTATGTTCTTCGTGCAGATGGAGAAGGTGGGTGGAGTAAGGGTCTTCGTTGAGTGTGTCCCGCCCTGAGTTTCGAAGGTGAGGAAGCCCAGAAGAGGTAAGAGAGAGCTTTGGTGGAGGATTCTATCGTAGTACTGATATGCTTCATTAGTGCCGCTAGGTGGATGCCTTGATCTGGGCGAATACCAGAAATGGTTTGTTTGATCCGGAGGAGGTTGATTGTCTCCTTGTGGGCCTTAGTTTGACTTTTGGTCATCCCATGATGTGTGCCTAATAAGTACATAGTGCACTGCAATTAACGTTTAAGATCTATTTTCAATTGGCTCTTAGTCTTTTCCTTTTTCTTGAAATTAAGATTTTTGGACATTGAAGTGTGCATTGAATAATGTAATAGATAGTGTTGAATGTGGACATTGAACATGGTAATAGATAGTGTTGTATATGGCAGTGAGTGAATGTATTGAGAGGAAGTGCAATGATTATGACAAGTAGTGCAATAATACAGAGTAGGAAAATCCAATATACGTAGTATTTAATTGGACGCAAAATCCTAAAATTATTAAATGTTAAAATAAATAAAGAAAAGAATTATAAATAAATTTATAACTTGGACAAGAAGAAAATTAAAATTGGCGGAGGTGCAGTGATTATTACCGGATGTGCAGTAATGTCGTGCAGTAATGTCATGCAGTAATGGGAATATAAAGTGCAGTAATTTTAATTGGACGAAATTAGTGCAAAATGCACATATTTTAAATAAGAGTATTTTTGTCATCCAACATTTAAATATAAACGAATTTTCTATTTATTTTTAGACTTTTGGTCATACAAAAGTATAAAAACTAGTTAGGTCATAGATTGGAAAACTCATTGAGTTTTAGTCATATCCTAGTAAATTTCCCAATAAACAAATGGCTGAATTTAACGGACAGACAACATTCAGGTTTAGCACGATTTCTTTGGTTTAATCCGATTTCCAGAAACCCATACCAAACCTAGAACAAAATGAAATAAGAATGGCCGAGATTACTCTTACGGCCTGTTTGGATGGAGTGTTGATAAATGTTAGTAATGAAAACGTTAGTAAGTGTTGGAAGGGCCCGAAAGGGAAGATAAGTGTTAAACATAATTTTACCTTGTTTGGCAGAGTTAAAAAATGAAGTGTTAGTAATGGAAGTGTTTTCCCTTAAATTGACTAAATATCCTCAATTAAAGTAGATTTTAAGTCGTCACTTTTAATTTCAATTCTAGATTCCTTCGAAGTAAGGGATATATATCAGACCAACAAAATATGAGTGAAAGCAGTTTCGAATCATCAAATAGCCATATAACCCATGAGAAATCGTGAACTCTCCAACATTCCAGTCAAGTTTGGTGTGAAAAAGTATACCGTTCAAGGCTATATCTTTTAGAATTAAGATATAGCAGCAAAAATGACTGGTTCTTTTTGTTGATTAGAATTGATTATTTATTTGTTTTTTAGAATTATACAATTTTTATGCGGTATAAATATTTGATAAAAGTAGGAAGTAAAAAGATAACACAACTCGAGAAAGATGGTCTAAACGAAGATGAAAAGGATAGCATCATACGGAAGAAATCATAGACAGCTAAAAGAGAACTCAATATTCAGAAGAGAACTCGGGAGAAGGAGGATGAGTACCTATATCATACACCCTGATGTAGGTACATCCAGCCCAGTTGAAGAAGACAGCCCATTAACTAATATAGACCATTTTATTTTCGGTGGCATTTTTGTAATTTAAGCAAAAAATCACGGCTTAAGCTAAATGAGCATAATTGTACGTTTAATGAGCAATAGTCCAATTATAATGAGTATTAAGCGTCCAATAATGAGCATCATGTTGGTACAAGAAAACTGATATCATAACTAAAAAACGGTGGCATTTTTGTAATATCAGTGAAAATCGTGTTTTTCGATAGATGAGTATTAAAATGTGGGCATCATGTTAGTACAAAAAAACTGATATCACGCTGTTAATGAGCATCAGATGTATTCTATTGAGCATTACGAGTCGAATAATGAGTAATGTGATATCAATTTCATATATTGTAATTCACTTTCCGTTATCTTATTTTTTCTTTTACAAAAACTCATTAAATTTTATCTATAATTAATTCCTATGAATTTCAATATGTGAATCGAATGTAATATGGTACTTTGATATGAAAATCATAAGATTTGTTAGTTAAACATCACAAATTTTAACTGAGCATCAAACCTTCGTTATTGAGATGAAAATCATGGTTTCTGGTGAATGAGCATAAATGAACTTTTAATGAACATTAAAACAATTATGTTGAGTATTAGGAGTCTAATATTAGAAATCATGATCTCTGCTTCATAATTTCTAATTCACTTTCTTTTTGTTATTTTTTCTTTTATAAAAAATTATTACGGAGTAAATTATATCTATAATCAACTCTTATGAATTTCAATATGTGAATCTAATGTAATATTGTACTCTTGAAATATGCATTGATATGACATTTTTAAAATGAGCATAACATGAGTACTAGTTGAGCAGACGTAACTTACAAAATGAGCAATGATATAAAAATCATAAGGTTTTTTTCGTTGAGAATCAAGACATTTTCATTGAGTATCAAATCTCTTTTATTGAGTATTATAAATATACAATTGAGTATCATGCATGTTTTGTGCTCTAGTATCTATAATCAACTCTTACGTGAATCAAACGTGATATGCTAATTTTGAAATATGTACTGATATAACATTTTAAAATTTTAAAATAGCATAACACCAGTACTAAATGATTATACATTATTTACCAAATGGACAATGATATGAAAATTATAAGCTTTGTTAGTTGAGCATCAAAACGTCGTTTATTGAGTATTATAAGCATAAAAATTGAGTATCATGATCTCTACTCTCTTGTCTCTAATCAACTCTCATGGGAATCTAATGTAATATGGTAGTTTTGAAATATGCATTGATATGACATTTTAAAATAAGAATAAAAATCAATATCAGATAAGCATACGTAACATAAAAAATGAACATTAAAATGTTCAAAAGCTCAATTGAATTCTCTAATGTGTTCAAATATACATTTGTGAATGCTCATTTCTTTTAATAGTTATACTCATTTGAATATAACATCAACTCTTTTGTATAACATGTACATCTAGTAAATTCGTTATTAACAATTTAATAAACTATCATTATATATAACAATGAAAAATATAAAAAATGCTATACTAAAAACAAATTTTAGGTTTATTTTTTAAAAAATGCAAATATAATTGCGTTGTTTTTATAATATTTACTCATGCACATTTATTTTGCACTGTACTCATTTGAGTATAATACAAAACTCATGTTGGTAATAAACTCATTTCAGTATAATACACACAATATTTAATAAACTAATAAATATTAATCTTAAAATTTGAAATATAAAAATAAAATTAATACCTAAAATATTTAATAATGTACAATTAAAAAGAATTAAGTTATGAGTTTTATTGATAAAAGAAAAAACAAACTCCAACATTAAATAATATTTTATTTATACATTTTGATAATAGTTGAAAAAAATAAAGGAAAATGTTGGTGTTTTTTAAAGTGCAAAAAGTTGTTGAATAAAAAGAAATAATACAAAGGAGAACAACAACAACGTAAAGCAAAGGAATTAAAAAGATGGAGCCAACAAGGAATTAAAAAGACGGAGCCAACAGATGTACGCGTGTAAAGCAACGCTACAGTGCCGGTTGAAAAACAAAGAAGAAGCAAAACAGAAGGAAAACGGAGCCGGCAGAAAAAGAAGAAAACAGAGCAGAAGCAACATGACTATTAGGCTTTAAGTTGTACGGTGAGAACCGTACAACCGGGTGTACGGTATATTTTACCGAGGAGGATAGAAGACTCGGCAGTAAGATTAGGCACAAGAGGCGGAGAAGAGGAACGATCTCTGCCCTCTGGATCTCTGAAACGTACGCTGGTTGGAGGTGTACGGAGAGAGGACAAAAATTGTCCAAACACTTCGTTACACCCCAAATTTGGGTGTTAAAAATTTGATAGATATAGGTGTTAGGAAGGTCATCACTAACACCCTCAAACACTTATTAACACTCTTGATTTTTTTTTTTTCTGAATTTTTCTCACAAACAAGTACTCCGTATTAAACTAAACACTCCCCAACATTTCTATCAGTACCCCCAATCCAGCCGTTAATCCCGAGTGAATCAACACTTATTGGTGAATCACTTATCATTTGAGAGTTGACTCCTAAATTCTGACATGAACCAGACTATGGCGGGTGGATCCTGCATATGATTCATACCTCGCGTCTCAATGTCAATTGCTTATTGTTTTCTAGATCAGATCTGGCTTTATTTCACCTGATGCGTGCTCTCAACATCCATCTCGCAGTTCCTTAATGAGCTTTCCGATGGCATGTGATCTTAAAGGTTTTATGATTCGACACAATTCTTCAATTTTGTCTTGCATATTTAAATTACTTTTGCTCTTCCATTATATCTCTAATGAACTATAATGCACCCGGCCTTCTCATTCTTGTTCACTGACAATACATATGGCCGTCGGTCACATTTGAACAGGAAAAGCTCTTGTCCTTATGGGTCCAAGTGGTGCCGGAAAGTCGTGAGTCTCTCGCTTCACTCTTTACATCCAAATCCTGTCTGAGCTATCAAAACAATGGCGTTTCGGTTATTATTTATTTATTAAATAAAAACGCAGAAACAAATCATTTTGATCACTTCGACGGCCATTATATTGCTTTAAAGCCCTGCTTCACTCCGTTGATATATCTGTGAACAAAACAAACATCATGGTCTATGGTCATTCAACTACTTACTTCGATTGTGTGTATTTATGTACAGAACAATAGGTGATATGCTAGGAAGAGCCATTAATGGTCACTTTGTTGATGCCGATGATTATCACTCTCCTTCAAACAAAGGTAGGCAATATCTGATGACTTAGATGGATGAATTTAGGAAAAATGCCTGGCGGCTGCTGAATTAGTTAGCCGAGTCTCTATTCTATAGATGATAAAACCTAAGTTGGAGCAGAGCCTTTTTGAAATTAGAATATCGGTAGAATGGTTGAAATTGATGAAATTCTAACTCAAAGGTTTTGAAAAAAATATACGAAATATTTAAATATCTGTTTATTAATTAAATAAAGGAAATATTATACGTCGTATGAAAATAACTAAAATTGCCCTCTAAAATAACTTTAGTCAATTCAGGTAGAAAACTAACTCTATTTTTACTTATTTTAACTTTAGTCAATTCAGGTAGAAAACTAACTCTATTTTTACTTATTTTGATTATTATACAATTCAACGCGTGAAAATGTTGAATGATAAGTAGAAAATAAGACTACTGTAGCGGTTTTCTACCAAAGAAAAGTCAATTGATTTTATGATGTTACAAGGACTAAGGAGGTTATGCTGATTCTAGCTTACCAAATGAAACATGTGGCTTAACATCACTATTAGCTAGCTAGCTTTTGGAATTGGGGGGTGGGGGGGTGGGGGAAGATAGTTTAATGGTAAATGATACAGCATTTATACTATGCAGAAAAAATGAGGATTGGGGTGGCATTGACAGAGGAAGATCGGGCTCCCTGGCTCGAGACACTGCGAGGCGTGATAAGAGAGGGGTTAGCGAAGGGGGAAAGCATTGTTCTTGCTTGCTCTGCTCTCCAAACACAGCACAGGGAAAGCCTGAGGTGCGCTGATCCTGGTTATCAGCCCGGCTCCGGTGGGGTGCATGATTGTTTGGTGAAATTCGTTTTGCTGGATGTAAAGGCCGATGTTCTGGCTGACAGGCTGAACAGAAGGGCGGCAGAAGGGAACCACTTCATGCCTGCAATGCTCTTACAATCCCAGTTGGATTTGCTTCACATAGATGAATCGGAAGGCATATTCAAGGTTGATGGAACTTTGACCCCTTTGGATATTGTGAGCAAGATCCGAGCATCCCTTTTCTCATGATTCATTGATTCTTATCCTCTTCAAATATTTACTACGGAGTATATCTATATGCCTTTTTTTTTGCTTCATGAACAACCATACCAACTTTTCACTTTTAATCCATGCTATATTTCATATCTGGCCTTCAGTCAATAATTGTAATAATTTGGTCCCTCCAAACCTGGAATACGATGTCTAGCCTTCACAGGAATTCAAAAAAATCATCTTCAGTTGATATTTCAAGAATTAACTACAACTTACTTTAAACTCTCACCTAAGCTTTAAAAAAAAATCTCACCTGAATATCACTCACATATTTGAAAGATGATAATTATGAACACCAGACATCGACACGAGCGATTTAAAATCATCAATTCTACTAGAGATATCAAATGACATACTAAGTAAATTTTTAGTCGTTCATATCTCGACAATTTTTCATCTTTCATGCACCTATTTTATTGTTAGGTATTTTATCGTTCCTAGTGATGGGTGCCTTTTTGCAAATGAATCCCCAAAAAGTATTGGAAATAAAATGAAAAAAATTAACATTTATCTTTCTGTTAAGTATTACTTGAGCTGTTCCAAATTGAATTCCAAAATACTTCAGTTTTTAAAATTGACTCACGATAATGTTAAATCATTGTTGTGGATAGTTAAATCAGTTCCAAGCCTTTAATAAAAAATTGATATGCTAAATTAATAAATAAAGTGATTTTCTATAGACCAAGAATAGTTGACTTTGCTAATTACTTAGTATTTTAAAAACAAGAGTATGAATTAATTATTATTTAATATATAAGAAGCAAAATAAAATTGATACATAATTTCCTCCGTAGGAAGCCTACAGGAAATTTAAGAAGTGATGGGTTAGTTTTAGTTTTTACCATCATCAAGTACAAGTAATGAAAAAACTTCAAGTAACCCTTGCTCATGTACTAAGTTACTAACCCTTACCCATTTTCTGGATTTCTTTCGTCCCGTTACGATTGTCTTATATTTTTTTTGTCTATCCTATTGAAATTGCCTCATACCCAAATTGGAAATGTTTGTATGATTTTAATTCTTTTTTGGTTATTCTCATTAAATCAGTTCAATATTAACAACATAAATTCACTTTTTATAATCACATCACCTCATATTTTATCAATGTTATGGGGCGGACGTAGTTTATAAAAGCAAATTAAATATAACAAAAAATGCCCTCCAAAGGAAGCCCTACAGGGAGTTTAAGAAGTGGTGGGTTAGTTTTAGTTTTTACAATTGTCGAGTATTTTGTGTTCCGATGATATTACTATAACACTTTCAAGGAGTAAGTCACAACTTCGAATCTCATTCCAATTCAAGAATATTGGGCTTAACATAAAACAGATACTATCTAAGTCTATAATAGCTTAAAAATTAGGCAAGTAAAACAAGGAAATAACATCAAGTAAACCTTGGTCACGTACTAACCTAAGGAAATGAATATATTCTTACCGATTTTCTGGCCTCATTGGTATAAAACTAAGGAGAAATGATCTTGTCCAGGCGGAGCCAGGAAGTTTGGGGCGGCCACCGCCGCCGTTTGGGGCGGTTCCCGGTGGAAGTTTTTGATGAATACTTTTGATAATGTTCCTCATCATGTCTAGTTTATCCACAAAAAATTTCAGTCAAAAATTCAATCGGGAAGGCAGTCAATATTTTTTTGAAGATAACTCCGCCAAAATATACATATAAAACGCAGTCATCTTCAAAATATTATTTGACTCTCTTCCCGATTGAATAAAAACATGCTCAAAAAATTTCATCAAAAAATTGAACAAGATCTTTTTCCTAAAACTAAGTTAGTTTTATTCTTTAAAAATTTGTATGTTTGTTATTTTTCATCTTCATTAATTTTCTCGCAATAAATATATGGAAACAAAAAGGAAAAATGTACAAATATACCCCTGTATATAATATCACATATTTTTGTATGATGATAAATAGTCAAAGATTAAAAAATAGTGAATTTAATTCTATTAAGTTTAAACACAAGCAAAGCATGTTATTTTAAAAAATTTAACAATGTGTTCAAAATTTCGCAACAAGACTAAAATTAAAATTAGTGAATTTGAAGTGCTTCATTTACACCATAATAATAATAATAAGTTTGCAAGTTAAAATTAAAGAGTTAACATTTTAACATAATAATAAATGTTTATTTTTAAATTTCGAATTTATAATTTATTTTTGGTGTTTTTTGAAATTTATTTTATCCATTTAAAGTCAATAAGGATAAATTTGTTTCTTTATAAGAACATGAGGGGTATTTTAGCACTTTTTAAAAGTTCAGGGGTATATATGTACTTCAACATATACTTCAGGGGTATACTTGTTCCGAAAAATAGAATAGGGGCATATTTGTTCCTACACCCATACTATAGGGGTATATTTGTACCTTTCTCCAAACAAAAATCATGGAGAATAAGCCTTGAGTACATAAATGAGGAAGACTAACATGGAAATTTATCCTAGAATGTCACTCAAATGAAATAAGGAGTATATGTGTGTGTGTGTGTGTATATATATATATATATATATATATATATATATATATATATATATATAGAGAGAGAGAGAGAGAGAGAGAGAGAGAGAGAGAGAGAGAGAGAGAGAGAGAGAGAGAGAGAGAGAGAGAGAGAGAGAGAGAGCTATTCCTGTCCGGAATTTCCGGACAGGAGCCCCGTCCGATCACCTCAATTTGAGGTGGTTCCCAGTGGTATTTTTGACTCAATTTTTTTTTGTATGTTCCTCATCAAGTCTAGTTCATTCATACCAAATTTGAGCAATTCAATCTAGAAGGTCGTCAAATGATTTTTACAAGTTAACTGGTCCGGAAAATACATATTCCGGACCAGTTAACTTCAAAAATCATTTGACAACCTTCCCGATTGAATTTTTGGCTGAAATTTGGTATGGATGAACTAGACTTGATGAGGAACATACACAAAACATTTGAGAAAAAAATACCACCGGGAAGGCCCCCAAATGGAGGAGGCCGGACGGGGCTCCTGTCCGGAAATTCCGGACAGGAATATTACTCTCTCTATATATATATTAAAATGAGAACCCGTGAGAACCAGTGAGAATCGGTGGTATTTTGGCTGAATTTTTTTGTGTTTGTTGCTCATGAAGTCTAGTTCATCTATACCAAATTTGAGCAAAAAATTCAATCGGGAAGGTCATCAAATGATTTTTGAAAGAAAACTGCGTTTTATGTGTATATTCCGGACCAGTTTTTTTTTTTTCAAAAATCATTTGACGACCTTCCCGATTGAATTTTTTGCTCAAATTTGATATGGATGAACTAGACTTGATGAAGAACATACACAAAAAATTTCAGCCAAAAATACCACCGGTTCTCACGGGTTCTCATTTTAAGAGGGGTTCTCACTAGAACCCTCCCCTATATATATATACACACACAAATATTCCGGTCAGGAATTTCCTGACCGGAGCCCCGTCCGGCCTTCTCCATTTGCGGGCCTTCTCGATGGTATTTTGTTCTCAAATTTTTTGTGTATGTTACTCATCAAGTCTAGTTCATCCATACCAAATTTCAGCAATAAATTCAATCGGGAAGGTCGTCAAATGATTTTTGCAAGTTAACTGTTCCGAAAAATACATAAATATATAGTTATTATGTATAACACTTCGTGGTCATAATAATATAAAACTGAACATAGTCATTTTGTATAAGAGATAACATTTTTGCCTTGCATTTTTATTTCGAATACAAATGTCATTATATCTTTGGTAATTACTTCCGTGACCCCACCCATAAGTCTATTTCCATTACCACTTAGATAATCCTAAATTAATTCTAATTAAATTAATATTTATCAAAGTGAGGTTTGGTTAATAATAACTAGTCTTTTACCCATGCATTGCATGGGATAACAAACCAACACATTATCTACAAAGCCATTCAGGTATTCCAAAGTCTATGTGTGTGCATACAATTTATGTCGTTTGATATTTGTACGCTCAGAAATACATACACATTATAAATAGACACTTTCATTTACAAATTATACCTAAAAAAGCATTCTCCAGCTGCTGCAATAAATGAGTGCGAGCCTTGCTGCTTTCTCCCATTAACAAACGGTCGATCAAAAGTGAACCCAATTGTCCAGGAAGAATAATGCAGTTTTTCCTATTAAAAGACCTTCTCAATTAAGCAAGCACCTAAGGTTCTACTCAAAGCTATGATAGCTCATTACACATTGAGAATGAAATTAATACTCTTCTGTCCATAGAAAATAATCATAATTAAATAAGCATAAAACTAATATGCTATGACAAATTGGCATTGAGTTTCACACCTAATAAATTTTCTAGTGCATATAGAAACTTTGTGACATAAAAATATGGACTCAAATCTTTCATGGTTGAAGGTAGTAAATTCAAACCCGCAATTACGTGAAAAATAGGTTGCAGAGGGGAGATGGAATTAATTTAATACTACCCACAATTTTATATTAAGCATACCATTCTAATGCATGGTGTTTCCTTTTTACAGATTTTTTGAATCGATGTTGATTTTATTGTGTTTTTCTAATCATCAGGTTTAATTATTAGAAACTTCCACATAAATAGGTGTAGGTCGTGCAACTATGAAATATGTTGAAATGGGATCTTTAAAATTTGGATAACATTAAAAAACTTTACAAATTTGTGTTTTAACTTGAAATTTCCAGTCATGCGGCATGGGTTACCGACTGATACTCAAAACAAATAACTTGTAAGAGCATCGTGTAGCAAATTGGCTAGAAGAAGGAATACAAAATTTGGGCAAATAAAACCATGCATTGATGAGGTATAATTAAAAAAGACATTTTTTTAGTTTTTTTGCTTTAAAGAGATAATAATAGTGCATTTAATTCAAAGAGTCTTTCTGTTTAAAGTGAAGCAGTTGAAAACTAAAAACTAAGGGGTTTAAAACTAAAAACTAAAAGAAAGGGGGAAAAGTGTTTTAACCGCTTTTCATTTTTTCTATTTCACAAAAGTACTTTTCATCCAACACTTTAACACTTACATTTTCAAAATCATTTTGCTTTTCAAACACTTTCAATTTTTACCATTAATCAATTTTCATATATTTTTTCAAAAAAAATCACTTCTCAAAAATAGAAATAAATACAAAAACTCCATAATAACATGGAGTGGTAAAAATTGAAAGTGTTTGAAACAC